AAAATCCAGCCCCAATCGGGGCGTTTAGAGCATCCCGGACGAGCCCCCAAATTGTTATGCCAAACAATTTACCTTAAACAAAAGACTGAGACACGAAGGCTTTTCTATTGAAGTTCATTTTATTTACATAAAAAGGAAAAACAAAAACAGAACGCCACTGCAGTTTGGCGGGAAGAAAAACCATTTCACCTTAATTTGTGGGTGATTAGGGTTTCTTCAAAGAACAAAGGAGTTGGTACAATCTTATAGCTGTCCCCTCAGGGCGAGAGGGGTGGGCCTTTGAGGTCATTAAGTTAGTTAGCAACAATTCATTGGATTAGTGAAAACACATTTTAGACATGCGCAGAACAATTCACTTTCCCTAAATTGGCCCTTTGTCTCAACATTCCATGCTTATCTAGCTTTTAGCCTTGAGCTATGAAGAAAGGAAGCAAGGAGAATTGTCATATACAGCTTCAAAATTAATCCAAACAGTGTTATCAAAGAGGGAGATGGTTGTCATGGACAAACTGAATGACATACTGGAAGCTAAGAGGCAATTGTCTAACTCCAAATTTTACCAGCTCTTAACCACAGATCCAAGAAGAAGAAACAACAGCTACAGAACAAGACTGCATAATTTATATACACAGGTTTAACAGTGGGTCAAAGGGATTGACCATGATTCCTAGGGATTACCAAGTGTGAGATCCCCGCCCCCACATTGAATCTCACAATGTACAGCTTGTGTCAGTAATGCTATCCAAGGCCTGGTAACTGAAATTGTTTACAGTTTGATGTTCCTATTCCTGTACTAACAAACTATTGTCACTTGTTCATCATCTGTATCCACACCTGGTCACAGGGCCAGGTATAAATATGACAGTCATACATACCGTCTCCTTCTCACAGCTGAGGAAGCAGACTTGGTCTACAAAAGTTCACAGTAAAATATATTCGCTACTCTTTAAAGTGCCAGTTTTTAGTCTTTTCGTTGTTGTTTGAATAGAATATGATTTTGTGGAGACTAAAATGTCCTTTTCTGACAAATGAGGGTTAAGAATCAGTACTGAGCAGTCCACTATAAGGTACAGGAATGACTAATTCTGCAGGTCGTCAATGACTAGGATTCTGTTGCACACATGTTGAATAAACTGGAAATTGTGAAGCTGGTGTGTGCACAACTTATTCTGAATGTCTGTCACATGCCTAGATATGCTGGATTTGCTCACTCTGCTGTTGATGCCCTTGAGCACACAACGTACTACCAGAAAATTTGTGAAAAACACTTTGTGCTGGACTAATTCTGCAGGTCGTCAATGACTAGGATTCTGTTGCACACATGTTGAATAAACTGGAAATTGTGAAGCTGGTGTGTGCACAACTTATTCTGAATGTCTGTCACATGCCTAGATATGCTGGATTTGCTCACTCTGCTGTTGATGCCCTTGAGCACACAACGTACTACCAGAAAATTTGTGAAAAACACTTTGTGCTGTTCCCCTTACTAGATATGCTGGATTTGCTCACTCTGCTGCTGATGCCTTTGAGCACACAACATACTGCCAGAAAATTTGTGAAAAACACTTTGGGCTGTTCCCCTTATGAGTGCAGTATCTCACAATAACCCGCCCCTCTAGACCATGTCTACTCTTATGAGTGCAGTATTTCACAACAGGATTTTTGATCATTGGTGTGAAGCTCTGGAGATTGTTGGGCTTGCTACATGGAGGCTGGTTTCTGGAGTCTTGAAAGTTCCATGTTGGTGTATATAACAGGATACATACAGTAGACGTTGTCTAGCGATTGTTGGGCTTGCTACATGGAGGCTGGTCTCTGGAGTTTTGAAAGTTCCATGTTGGTGTATATTACAGGATACATACATGAATTTGACAACCTGAGCAAAGGCCGCCTGAGCAAAACAGCTGCAGAAGCTCTGTTCCTAAAGTAGCTGAAAAATTATTCTCAAGCAAACATTTAGTAGGGTCTGGGTTAAAGGTTGTTACTTGTATTGGCACTCAAATATAAAGGGTACAATCCAGCCAAAACTATGCTTTTAATGTTAATCTTGTCTAACTCTCCAAATGAGATCAGTGGAACATTAGCTGGGCTGGGTTTGTTTGTTTGTTCCTTCAGTATTTGCAAGAGCAATGAGTTTATTGATAGCACTCAAAACCAGGGATGATTTAAATATTTTAATTCTTAAACCATAATTCCACAACCTACATTCCTCCCAACCTACCAACTTCACTAGCATTTATTCCCATCTTGGAAATTAAATCATGGTGAATTCTTTGTTGCTTGAAAGATATTCTTGAGTTAAAGTAGATTTAACAGAATGAAGAGTGGTCTAGTCTCTAAAGAACTGTTTTTATTCCTTTTCAAAAAGTTCATTCCTTTTTGTGTGCACTCTGAGAAGCCACTGGTGCAGGTAAGTATGTAATTAAGGGCTTATTTAAAACTGAGATTCTCTTACACATCAGCCTTCAGCCTACTCACACAGAATAATAGTCTCCACACAAGAGTGTTTCTATACCGCTTGCACTCTATTATGTTTAAGTCTGTGTAAGAGCTCTGTTTTGTAGATCATTGTTGGTTCATGTTACAGATTATGTGGCTTGTGCCACACACACACACGTGCAGGCAGGCCTGACTTTCCTAAGACTCTGTATCAAAGCTATGAGACACTACAGACAAGGGCGATGGTGATTGTAACAGCTTTGTACTTATAACCACATCATCTCAGAACATGCTGTACAGGCCACTGTACCACAGGACAACTAGGATTAGTGTACATTTCCGAAGAGTGTACATTTTCAGCATTTGCATTTCCTCATTTCAGATGGAATGCAACATGTTTTGCCCGAGCACCTCTCAGATCGCAACTGTTGCCTGCTTGCTTCAGCTTATGTATTACATAATGCTATTGCACACATACAACAGATTGTTGCTTCTAGTTTTGAAAAAAAAATCTATATTGTGTGTTTTATGTTGTTGCGGCCCTATTTGGGGGTTATTTCCCCCTGAGAAATGAGATAGGAATGTTTAACCATTACTAGATCCTGCAGCTGGGCCAGACGAAGAAACTTTAATTTTCAAAAAAATCAAAAAGACTTTTCCTGGAAGGAAACACAGGGATGAAATGAGTTTTGGAACAGTCTGTAGAAGCCTATCAGTGCAAATCCAAAGAAACAAAACAAACCAAGACAAAAGCATGTGGTACCTTAAATAAGACTCCTATATTTTAATATGAACTTTCGTGGACACGTCCACTTCATCAGACGTGCTCTTTTTATATTAAGGTTAATGTTATTTCTGAAGAATTGGACGTGATCTACGAAACCTCACGTTAAAATATAATTTCTTTAAGGTGCTACGTGTTTTTGTCTTTCTTTATTGGCTTTGTTTGTTTCTTTGGATTTTGCCAAATAAAACTAAGTCTCGCCACACACGAAATACGGCTCCCCGCAGCTTTTGTTCAGCAGAGCTATGCAGGTTTCCCCTGATTAGTAAACACACCCACCATTCCCCTCCCCCCACCCCTTTCGCCTCGCCCTTCGGTTCTTCCTACGCCCTCCGCGTGTTAGGTCCCGCCTCTCCCCCCCGCCCATGCAAATACTTTATTACTATTTCGCGCCACTGGGTTAGGTCCTTGCAGCTCCGCAAACGTTAATTAAAAAAAAAAAAGAACCGAAAGGAGAGCCAGCTGCGACGCTCTTCATCCCTCTATCTTATTTATTTTTTTTGCCCCACTTTTTACTGGGGCGTTGTCTGTGTGTGTTTTGTTCCTGGCCAGGGGGCGTGGGCCAAGGTGGTTTGCGGTGCTTCCAGGACGCGGGCGTCTTCGCGGGAAAGCTTCTCTCTCCCCCCTCCCCACCGGCGAGTGGTTATGAGTTGGTTTGGCGCGAGTCTGCAGCGGGTCGGGGCTTGCTTGTCTTCCCTTCCTCTTATCTCTCTCTTCGTCCCGGGCGGGATGGCCGGCATGGACCCTTTCCGGCTGCAGGTAAGGGGATGATGGAGGGTGCCCTTCCTTTGCCTGCGCACTTAAGGGAATCTTCCCGTTGGGTGGAGGAAACAAGGGTGTGTGCGCGCCTCCTCTCCCTCGGATCGGGCCCAGCAGGCGCAGCCTTGGGAGGCTTTAAAAAAAAACCCAACAGCCAAAAAGGCTGTTCCTCCGGTGGGGGCTTCAGGGATAGTTACGAGGCGTGGGAACATCTCCGCTTTCCTCCCTGGCGCGACTCGTGAGTCGGAGGGAGAGAAGGCGCTAGTGAACCCCCTGGGGAGGTGGTGGGTGCGCTTGGATCCGCGCCGTTCTTGCAGGGGAAGCAGTAACTTTTTTTCGCGAGTTGGGGGGGGGAGAAAATAAAGCGTGGATTAGGCGGCGCTGGGGCCATGCAAGCACCCACTACGGGGCACCCTTCCTCGGCAGGAGTTTTCCCCGGGGTTCCTTGGGGCGGGTTCAAACGTTAAGCCTGCGGAGGGCGGCGGCGGGACGTGGAGAACGCGGCCCTTCCAGGTGGCCCAGCTTTCCCGCGGTGGCGGCGTTCGTTTGAAGAAGGGCCGCTGCGGAGAGTAGAGGGGGGGGAGAGTGGATATGGCGTTAGAAAGGGAGTCTTTAAAAAAGCGTGGGGGGGGCGCGAGGAGAGGGGGGTTTGGGGTATGAATGAGTGAGTGACTGAGAGTGGATGCAGGCAGGAGGGCGTCCGGGGGGGGGCGGCGGCCCCTCTCCTGGCTAGATAGGAGCACGTGGCCGGCTTGTTGCAAGCCCTCCCACCCGCGTTTGAGCCGATCCGTTTCGTTTGGGGGGAAGGAAGCAACCCCAGTAGGCTTCCCCCCCCAACTGGGTGAGAGCCTGCCTGGACCAAGTCCCGCTGACACGCGAGAAACCTCTCTGAGCTGCTCCCTGGACGAGCTGGAATCGGTTTCATTTGCTCTAACTGCCCCCCT